AAAGGTTGGCCACTCCTGATTTTTTTTTGATTTGCAGTGCATAATGGAATTAGGTAGGAATGGTGGCTACAAAAATTTGGATCTTTGTCAGTTTGTATCATGAGTTTAATTTTAACATCTATATTCTTCCAGGTACTGATTCCATAACACTTTAGAAAAATCTGCCTGTGGAATAATTTAACTAATCATGAAGTTAAACTCTTCAGAAAAGCTCTGACCCTTTGCAAGGAGGCTCTAACTAATCTAAATACTTACTTTGAAAATACTGGCCATAAGACTTCAGATAATATAGTGCCAAACCTAGCTAAAATCTGTTACTTCTTCATTCAGGAGTGCAGTGGAAGGTGCATCCTGACTATGCTGCCAAGCCTATAAGCAAGAATCTCCTGTTAATGTCTGTGCTAGTTTAAGGTATTGCTGCTCCCTTTGGTGTTGACTCATAGAAGTTTTGTCATTTTGCCTTGTATTTGTACAAAAGATACAAATAAAAAAAAAAGAGTCTATACATGTTTAAAATGTGGTTTGTTAGAATTAATGTTTAGAGGAATACTTTTCTCTCATCTCTTCACAACCTATGTTTACACCAACTTAAGGAAATGAGAAAAACATAAGTAATCTGAACTAATACTTAAAAACATTTAAAATGAAAGATTACTTCAGCTTACATGACCCAGAGTTTTAACTTTTGGCTACCAGTTCAAAATATAAACGAACTCCCTATCATGACCTCAGTTGTGACCTTAGGAGCTTTGAACATTAAATTTAACAGTGTATTCTGCAATACGAACACTACATGGTCAAATACTCCACCCAAACTACTGACAATGTGATCGAAATCACACAACTCATGAGAAATAGAGTCCTTAAAATTACTTTTATGCAAATGAAAACATACATACTAAACAGAAAAGAAGCTCCCATGATACTTCAAAAATTCTCACATTGATATTCAGTTAAAAGTGCAACATTTTTCAAAAGAATACAAACTAGCCCATTTTAGACTAATTCTTACCTTCCCTCTTTTAAAATGAAATTTAAAGGTAAAGTAAACTTTCTGACAATTTAATTTCATTACCAGCATTATGTTAAGTCTATACCTCACGGATTCTCTCATAGAGCTCCTCTGTCTGTTAAAAGACATAGGTGACACGCATGCAAACTAGTAGCCGAATAACAGAATTTTCACCTGCCAGGTAATGTGAATATTAAGTTGAATCATGAAGACTTTTTGTCTTCAGTCTCTGCACTGACTGCCACCTCTGCTGTCCATTTGAATACTTACGCTACTACCAGCTGCATTTTCTAAACATACTTTGTTTGTGAAATACATTGACTTAGCTATATAGCACAGCTTCTCAGTCTTTGTTCATTCCCAGACCCACTCTTGTCAACATACCCAATACAAATCATTAGTGAAGAACTGATTTTATTTTGTATTGCTACTGTTTGTCTCACGCTCTTTCTTACTGGTCACACTTCATAGTGAGGTTTATTTGTTTTCAGTCCTTTGGGAAAATTGATGCAGTTCAGGTTTTTTAACCTTGAATGAGCAAAGGTACCACCGGAAATTTTCAAATCAAGATACAGGATTCTTTGTATTATCAATGGCACATAAATTTCTTTCCCTTAAAAAGAAATATACACCACCCATTAAAAAAAAAACTTTCCATATATCAAATCTAAGTAGAAGCACACATCCCTCTACGACACAAGAAACTAGAACGTCAGCTGTATAGTACTTCTCCTGACTACCTACTCTTTCCACGCTTGGGCAAGGTAGTTGCCAAGTGAAGAAGAGCCCAGGAGAAGGCCTAGGAAATTTTCCAGTTGTACAAAAATTGCTGTACTCTGTACCTGAAGCAATGACCTGTATGTCCCGCAGATGTCCCTCAAGTTTCAAAGAGGGCATGAGTTTAGACGGAAAGGTCAAAATCTTCTGTAGCGCAAACCCATTTTTACTTCTGCCATCTAGTCACAGCTTCTCATAACCAAGCAAAAGCAAGCTGGATCTTACAGAACAGAGCCTGTTATTACCAAAAAAGTATGCCACAAACAAAGGGGATCACCGTCTTTTATCATCATGTGGGCAAAGTAGCTCCAGAGAGGTTACCAGCAGTTTCTAACAGCTGGCCTCTCCCCAGCAGGCTGACCCCCTACAGCTTTAAGAGCTGAGGGAGGACTCCCGTCCCCATCCCCCACTGTGCTGAGCACCCTGGGGCTCCGACCTGCCCCCCCCCCACC